TTTTTTCGGTAGGCCTAGGATTAGAATTCCCACCTCCTTATTCCTAGGCTCCTGAACTGTACTATGTGGCAATACTTATTTGAGGGAGACAAATTTTAAGAAATGTCTCTTTCTGGAGTATGGTATAGATTGCTTTAAAATATTACTTTATCTGTATTTTCATTCATATAAAATGAGGAGATGTATTTTTTAATTTTTTATATTATTTTTATTTTTATTTATTTATTTTTATATCTCTAGCACATAACCAGCCCAAACACCTGTACCTGGTAATTGTCACTGGGTTGTGTGATTACAGGTGATTTTTATTTTTCTCTTTGTGTTTCTATTTATTTTTCATGAGGACTAAGGGGGAAATCATGTTTAATTAATCAGCAAAAAAAGGATAATTTTTTAAGGTATCTAAAACAGAAGGGGAATGGATGATGAAAAGTGTTTAGTCAAGTGTGGTAGCAAGTGGCAGTTAAGAATGAATGGTATCTGTAAATGGCTATGCAAGAGAAAGGATACATGGCAATTAACAAATATTAGCCTAGGATTTAATTTGATTTATTAAAAGCCTCAAATATTCTGGAATGTCCCTGTGACTGGACTAATTTAAAGAATTCTAAAACATAAACTACTTGGTCCAGAATACTTTTAGAAATTATTTTCAAAATGTTTATAGTTGATCCTAGGAAAAACACTGATTTATATTAGATGATTTGTATATGTATTTTAAAAAATGCCCCGATGAAATCTGTAGGACATTAATCTAAGTCTGATTATTGGAAAGAAACTATTTGTTACTCTGTGCACTCTCAGGTGCTTTAATTTGACGGCCCTCTATGATAAATAGCTCATTCTTGATCTGGTAAAGAAAAGCAGAGAAGATGTATTTTTAAGTAACATGCAAGGAAGACATTGCACATTCAGTGTTGACAGCTGGCCTCTTAAAGCCTATGCAAAGCTTTAACAGTGATATTTATGCTTTTAATTTTTGTCAAGTGAAGATGTAAAATTAACCAGGAAAAATTATAAAGACATTTTTGTCATCCCTGTCTTAAAAGAATCTTTACACATGGAAAGGAGACATTTATAAAATAAACCCAATTCCTTTAAAAGTAATTGTAGTTTTGATGGTTGTGATGTAAAAAAATACAGGTTTTAAAAAGAGCAGGAATCAGTTTTGTATTTTTAAAGCATTTTAGAAAGACAATTTAAATTTAATCATAGTTATAAAAATTTTATGCTAATAAAACCAATATATAGTAGAAAATTTATAAGTTAAATCAATATAAATAAGAGAGTCAAAGTGACACGTAATTCTACTTTCCAGAGAAACCAGTAATAATATTTTGGTGTGTTTCTTTCCAGTCTTTTTTCTGTGTGTGTATGGCATGTATTTGTCTTTAATATAGTCAAGATTATACTCTACATTCCTTTTATTTGTTCTGCTTTTTTTCACTTAACATTATATCATGAATGTTTTCCTGTGTCCTTAAAAGTCTGTGAAAATATTTTATAGTAGCTCCATACATTTTTCTGTAACTTATGTAAATATTACTCTATTTTTACTTATTTAGGGATATAATAAGTTTTTTCTGTTATTAATGCTGAAATGGATAAGGTATATAAGTTTTTGTTCACATTACTTCTATTTAATTTATGAGAGTTGCCTAAAAAATGGAATTGGTGACATATATTGCCAAAAAGCTTTCTAGAAATTTACCAATTTCTAGAAATACACTAATATATGAAAATGTTTGATTTATTGCACCCTTAACAACAAACTAATTGTGTTTGAAGAGAACTTTGCTACTATTTTGGGGCTTGAAGCATTTGTTGCAAAGGTGAGTGGGTGGGTCCACATATTTGTAATGCTATCCAGAGACACTTTAACTATTTGGGGTTAGCTGTCTATTTGCTTTTATAGTAGCAGACTAACCACATGATTAGATAAAATAGGATACTTATCTGTCTTTCCAAGAGAAAACTATTTTGATCCACTGATCTTGATTCAACTATTGGAATTGGAAGAAGTTTAATGAAGGTTAAAAATTTCAGTTGATTGCTTTTTCCTAAAAATGAAAAGAATAGGATTGAAATAAATTGCTTAAAAAATTGATTGAAAGAGTTTTAGTAGTTAATAGCTAATCGCATGCAGGCGTGTGTGCTTGTGTGTGTGTGTGTGTGTGTGTCTGTGTTTTGAGAAAGACTGGGTGGAAGAGAGGGTGGGGAAAGATTAGAAAAAGAACATGAAAGGCTGAGGAAAGGAAGGTACTGTGAATGAAATAAAAAGAATGTCTGCTTTACCTGGAAAAATATGTCTTTACTTTTATCGCTGCCTGATTTACTCTGAAAGAAAAATTGCACATGAGCCCTGTTTGCTGAAGTAACATTTTTGCAGCTGTATCTGTTGAACTGTTACCTAAATACATTTGAAATAATACACTTTCTGAAAGTTGTTTTGACTGCCTGAGTTAAAAAACCAAAGCTTTAATTTTTAGATGCAAAGTGTCAGTCATCAAAAATAAATTGTTTTTCTAAGTCTTTGAATGTGATATGGTTTTAATCTGATGGAATATTTGAATATTGCCAACCTTTACCTTCCCTTAGTGACAAAGAATTTACTGTATTTGTTAAAAAAAATAAACTTTCACGTCTAGCTGTTTTGGTACCAGAATTAGCTTTTTTTTTTTAAAAACTTTATTTTTGAAAATCAAAAGTAGAAGTTAACAAAGTATGTTAAGCAAGAGTAAAAGTGCATTTATTTTTTCCCAGGGTTTATGTTCATGTTAGCTTTCATATCATGCTTCCCAGGGATATAATTTTAAGTAGTGTGATAATAATAATGATAATACAAAGTAATAATCATGTCATGTGCTGAGGGCCCTATTAGGTACTTTACTAGAATTAATTAAGTTTTAATTTTACAATGCTCTGAAAAGCATGTAGTGGGTAAACTGAGGGACAGATATGTTAAGAAACAGCCCAAGGCTGTGCAGCTAGTAGGAAGTCAAGCAGGGGTTGTTGAACATGATTTCTGCTTGCTTCCTTTACAGTCTTGCTACTTAGCATGGCCCACAGACGAGAAGCAATTGGCAAGATCTGGGAATATAAAGAAATGCAAAAACTTGACCACAGAGACCTGCCGAGTCAAACACTTATTTTCACAAGATCCCCTCAAGTGATGTGTATATATATACATTAAAGTTTGAAAAGCACCATTCTACATCCCATATTAAAAGTTATATTGAAGTTTTGAAGTCCGTTCTAAGGATTATTCCTGTTTTGACTTCAGTTCATGTGGGTTATCTATTAACATTTTCCACAAGAGGAGGAGGAGGTTGAATTAGTCAGTGTCTCCACCACTTCAAATTGCTATCCTGCTGCTGCTTGGATTCAGATCCTGTTTAATTCAGACGAACAATTGACTAATTCTCCTTGTGGACATTTGGTCCAAGTCTCAATCAGCCAAGTATAGCTCTGCCTTTACTCATGGACTAAAAACATCAGATTTATAGTACATGGCTTCGTTCTGGATAGCTATTTTGCAAACTAAAGAGAATAATACTAAAACTATTTTTGAAGGAAACTTGGAATCTTTGGAATATTTGATGTTTGAGATAATTACTAAGGAATCACAGATCTGTATAAACTGGTCTCCTTACTAATTTCATTTCGGGAACATAATTATTCTGTCACAAGGGCGATGATAGGTAAGAAAAGAAGCAAGGCTAACTTTGGAGAACACTGTCAGGTACGAATATAATGCAAGACATATAATTTAAAATTTTCCAGTAGTCACATTAAAAAAGTAAAAAGAAACAGTTTAAATTAATCTTAATGTATTTTATTTAACCCATGTAGGAAAATATTATTTCAACATGTAATCAATATAAAAATTGTTAGAGGTATTTATATTTTTTGTACTAAGTCTTGAAAAATTCAGTATATATTTTATATTTACAGTGTCTCAATTTGGATGCTAAATTTTCCACATTTAAAAGGTGAAATAGTGTCCAATGAAAATAAAACTGAGTTTCATGCAAAAATACTTTACCTTGCTTTTGGTTTTAAAATTTAAACTAATTAAAATTAAATAAAAATTCAGTTCCTTCAGTCACAGTAGGCACATTTCAGTATCACATCACATGTTGGATTGTGTTTCTAATGCAACTGATTCCAGACTTACGGAATTGATCACCGTCCAAATGGTCAGTAAATGAATGCTACTGTTGGTTGTGGTCTGTTAATATAAATATTTATACAGAGACTAAACAGGGAATAAACAAAGCTGTTTAGGTCGTAAGGCGTTTACTGACTCCTCCCCTCCTTTCTATCCTTCCCACAGTTGGAATTAATTTACCTGTCTTTTACTAGTGGTTCAGAATCAGTTCCTTAAATCCTTTAGCCCCACTAAATTGTAAGGATAGCGCCAAGAGTTACGGTTCTTCTGATTTTTCCGCTGTAGCATTAGATGCTTGCCTCAGAGCGCTGCGTACTTTTCAGAGAAGTGAGGTAATCTGACAATTAAGCATGGCAAGCAGGATAGTCTTGAATAGGCTAGTTTGGCCCAGAGGTTTTAAAACTTCACACGTGTACTCGGATCACCCGGAAACTAGCTAAGAATACCAATGTCCGGGCCTCACCTTTCCAGGTTCTGATTCAAAAGTTTACAGTGAGACTCCAGACACTTCCATTTTAAATAAGCTGTTCTAAGTGTTTCTGAAGTCCAAGAACATTTGAGGACCTTCAGACTCAGCAGTTGACCCTTAAAGGCTGTGAGTTCCAATTTAACATATTGTGCTGATGTTGCCACGCGATCGGTTTTCCGTGGGCTTAGGTTTCCCTGGGCGGTTGCGGCTTTTCTGCAGATGAGTTTTCAGGCTGTTAAATCCCATCCCCAAAGACTGCCCTGACGACGTCCCAGTCCCAAGCCCGGTTAAAGCGACCTGAGCTGGCCGAGGTAGACCGTGGCCATGTGACTGACAAACCCGGTGCCTTTCGGGGCGGCCATTTTTGAGGCGGGCACCCAACCTCATGCCCCGTAAGCCAGGAGTGGGGGTAATGCTGTTACCAGGACTCAAGATGGCCACCGCGCCCGCTAGCCAGCCCACTAGCCCGCGCGCCAGCGAGCCGGCACGAGACACACGGGCGGCTTGCAGCTGCCCGCGGCCCCCAGGGCTGGTCTCCGGCCCCCGATCGGGGGCGGAGCGCCCGCCCCTTCCGGGCGCGGCCAATCAGCGCGCGCGGTCGGCTCGGCGGGGGCCGCCCGCGCGCGGGGTGTGTGAGGACGCGCTCTCGGTCGCTGAGTGCCTGAGCCCAGGAGCGGTGGCTGTGGTACCTGCTGCTGCCGCCCGTGCGGACGCAGAGCATCGGACGCGAGCGCTCTTGAGCGTGGGGCAGGAAGGTGAAGCCATGACGTCCATCAGGTAATGAGACAGGGCGGCAGCCTAAAGTGCGCGCTTGCTGGGCGTTAGCCTCCCCGCTGCCTGAGCAATATCGCCCCTTCTCTGGGTGGTCTGGAGCCTGCCAGTGCCAGCGGTCCCCCTCATGTTGGAGGCGCTCTCTGCACTTTTCACTTGGTCATTTCTGCCTTCCTCAGAAGTTTTGGGGGCTGTGGCACATGGCGGAGCCCTGTAAGTAGCTGCACCGCTGAGGTGACGCTCCTCCAGATTCCAGGGTTTAAGGCTTCTGGGCTATGTAGTGGATTTCTCATGAAAAAATGTAGCTCTCTTTCCCCAACCAGGGGTGGCCGGGGCCTGGGGAAGTGTGACGTGCACCGGGTGTGTCCATTCCCGCATGTCATGTCTCTGACAACTTCGTTGATGGCCCAGAGCAGACCTGCAAAGTTGACCCTTTTCTGATGCAGGTAGACTGCCCAAAAGTTGTGAAATTGTGTGTCCCCAAAATATTTGTTTATGATTGGAATTAGTAATCCGGTTCCCAAGATGCCATTTGTTCACCTATTTTTATCAGAGTCACACGCGAAATGAGTTTCGTGAGATAGTAGGTATATAATGAAAGCAGTAAATGGGAGACTTCCCCTCAATTGCTCTTCTAGAGTTTGGAAGGTTCTTTTTTGTTGATGTCGACAGGATAATGGGCCCGTCCAATGTCAGGGTGTAACATTGACTGAATGTTTACCTTTTGCTAATGTAACTATTTATAAAAAGGGATAAATTGGCTTATTTACCCAGTGTTCTGAACTGCCTCTTGTAAATGGACCTTGGCCTTCATTGTCCCAGAGGAAGGGAGGCCCCAGCACAAATGTGAAGTGAATAAAATAAGTTAATTTTTGGTCCGTGAGCTTTCAGCAGCGAAAGTTCTGGTGATTTAATGGTTTCTCAGTGGTAATGTTGACTGCACAATATTTAAGAAATGACTGGAGAACCTAACCCTTAGGTAAGTAAGTTAAGGTAAGGTGTAACTGTGCTAAACTTGGATGTGGTTTCTCTTTCTTAAATTGCATGTTTCTGTTCTAACACAGACAGAGGATACTTACCTCATTATGCAGGAGAAATTCAGATACTGAAATGTGGAGACTCACATGGAAAGATTTCACAGTAAATTATATTGGGACATATAAGTCTAGCCTTTAATGCTGATAATATTTTAAGATGGATTAGGATTATGCTGTTAAACTGAGTCAATCCTCCCTCTCTACACTCCCACTCTCAATTCCCATCACTGCTGCTAATTAGGAGCGTGGGTCAAATATTTAAGGGTCACTTCTTAGGTGGACTCAATTTTATTCCATCATAGTATTGCTGGGTACTCTTCTGTGGAGAAGCACCCAAATCTGAAGCTTCTGCTCCTTGGCCAGTGACAACAAAATGTGTCTTTTGATGTAGAACTGAATGGTTGTCATGTTCAAAAGATTGATTTAAAGATTGACATCAACCTTATTTGATTTATGGAAGGATAGATAACTCATAGTTATATTTATGCTTGTTTCTTAAGGTGTTATTCTGAATTTTGAATAGTCTTCAACTACAGTGACATGACTCAAAAAGATTTTTAGATGTTATCTAAACACAGCTACCGCATTTATACTTGACAAATTGAGACCAAGAAAAGTTGAGTGCCTTTTGCAGATCAGTCAGTGGCAGAGTTAGGAACTGAATCCAGTATCCATGATCTAGTGGTCTGCATGATACCTTCTTAGAAATGATATACTACTTAAATTTCCCGAAAAAGCTGCTTCTATGAACAAATTGTAAAATATTGTGAGACAACTCTAGTAACTCTTTTGCTATCTTCTAGTCCTCCAAGGAACTTGGTAACTTAGTTTTAGAAGTAGGGAGGGAGACTACTGAAGTTGAGGCAACTCTGTTTATATGGTGACGATTTTAAACGAGTTGGTAATCTTACAGATACCAGCCCTTCCCAGTAAGGACTGCATCTAATGCAAATTTGTTACACCTTTTGTTTTCACAGTTATGATGTTAGGCATGTTTCCATTTTGTGCTCAGTTTAACAGTAGCCCGAAAGGTAGGTAATACTGACTTGCTTTTACTGATGAGGAGAATGATCAAGGTCACCAAGCTGTCAAAATCTGACTTTGTGTCCAATGTTGTTTTTCACACCACGCTTAAAATAATTGTTGCTAAGTATAGTAAATGTGACTCTTTGCATTGATTATGACAGAATATAGAATTGGAAAGCAGTGAGGGCCAGTGGTCAACATACCTGGATTCTAACTGAGGGTCTTTTTCTCAGATACTGATCTTCCTTTTCTCTTTCCTTCTTTGGGCATTTATTTAATGAAATATTCAGTGATAATGATACTAATAATGTACCCACAGTGTTGCTGGGTAGATAAGAACGTGTTTTTGTATTTCAAGGCATTTTATAAATAGAATATTCTCTGCTTGTTGAAAGCAATTTGAGCCCCTTAGAGAATAGTGTCATTTGAAAGGAAATGTTTAAATTTTAGATTTTTAAATGGGAAGAGAACTTACCTAATTCCCTCATTTTACAGTTGAAGAAACTGAAGCCAAGACATACTATGATTTGTTCAGATTCACACAAGTAGTTGCATATCTTGAACCAGAACTCAGATCTCTAGACGCCTGGTTCAGTGCCCTTTCCAGTGTAGCATTCAACTATTAGGAAGTCCTAAATAGCGATGTATTTCTTTTTCTTTGGCGGTGGGGAGGTAATTAGGTTTGTTTGTTTATTTTTAGAGGAGGTACTAAGGGATTGAACCCAGGACCTCCTGCACAGTGAGCATGTGCTCTGCCACTTGAGCTACGAAATAGCGATTTAAATCAGAAGAATTAAAAAAAAAACAACAAAAAACCTTAAGACCTTTGAATAAGTTTGACTGGAGAATTTGACTCTCTTCTGACTTTTATTAATTGTATTCTAGTCTGCTACACCATTACTAATGGAGAGTCTAAGTTTACAGTCTTTAAAGCTAATTATCCTTGAAGAACAACTTATCTTTTGTTACATATATCAGATTCCAGTTGTTCTTCATTTGAGAAATGGTAGAACATATTTGATAAGTTAATGGTTTTGTCATTTTTAATTGGCCCAATAGAAAAGTTGATGTTTGAGTTAAAATTCAGGAAATAGAGGAAAATGTAGAATGCCAGGACAAGAAGAGAATCTTAGAGGGCTTTTTACTCTTTTTGTTTCTTTATACTGGACCTTGAGGCCCAGGCTGAAGTGATATGTCCTAGTTAGGCAGTGGTAGAGCCTAAGATAGAATTTAGGTCTCCTGACTCCTACTTTGTGTGCTTTTCACTGATCAGCACTGTTTCAAAATACTCCTATGAATATTGCCTTGTTTTCCTAACATGAATGTCTAGTCTGGTTTTGGACATTGCTTACAGCTTGAGTTTGCGCCAGGGAAGACTGGGAAAATGAGGTAGGGAGACAGGGAGAGACTTTGCTGTAGAGCTGAGGAACTCTATTCTTTGGCCTGCCCAGACAGGTCAGATTTGTTTTAAGACTATTCTGGGACTCGACATGTCTATGCTCTACATGATAATTCTGTAACCATTTCTGTGGGTCAGGCCTACGCTGGAAAATTTATGTGGGCTGTGGGTGGGGTCCTGGGGTATTTTTCCCCGAACACTCAAGTTTTTTTGAGGTATGTCCAGTAGGATCTGCCAAACCACTCAGATGGAGAATATTCATATGGAGGCTAAATTCTGGCTAAAATTGAAACTGCCTTTGTTGAGTTGATTTCTTTAGAGCCTTTAAACAGAATTTTCAAAGTCATTTCAGGACCTGTGTCTTTTATAAGAATTGCAAATTTCTGATTACTGCACAAACTTTTAAATGCTGTGAAACTTCTAAGTGAGGCAAGTGAGCTTTTAAAATAAAATGAAATCGTTTCATTTGTGAAATATTTTGAAGAACTAAAACAGGAATCCTTTTCTTAGAGAACTGCAATGTTGTCAGCTGTTAATACTCATATTTATAAATAGGTCATCTTTGCTTGAAAAGGCATACAAGGTTTTCTAACTCCCAATCTTTCCAGCCACAGTATTGCTACATTAAGCAGAACTGTCAAAGATGAATTGGAACCAAAATGATTGTCTAGACTGTTTGAATGTTAACCCTTTCCTGTAACATTGGTTAACACTCATGTCTGTTTACGTCTTCGTACCTACTTGGTTTTAAGTTGTTACTTTAAAAAATACTGTAATAAAAGGTAAGTATGAATTCTTATTTTCACATAGCAAAGCTGGCATATAAATAGGATGACCATATGTACCAGTTTATACAGGACAGTCCTGGATCATGCCTATTATCCTGGCGTAATTGGTAATAGCTCTTCCTTTACTCTCAGAAGTGTTCCATTTGGATAATAAATTACCTGGTCACATCCATACACACTATAATAATTTTGTTGTAGTAGATTTTGGTTGTTGAAGTCTTATTTGAAATAGGATTATAAGATAATGGAATATTAGATTATTTTGACTAGATATGGATATTTTTCTTTGGTTAGACATTTTTATTGCAGTAAGAGAGTTCTTATTGATTTGTTGTTTGACCTTTGGCAGCTTGTAAAACCTTGCTGAATCTCTTGTTTCTGTTAGAGATAATAGCAATATCTACACTATGGGGTTATTGTGAGGATTTAAAGGCAATAACATACATAAAAATGCTTTGTAAGTTGAAAATTGCTATGTAAGTGTTAGTCATTAAAGTGTCACACGTATACTCCTGAAAATTTAATTTTAGATGAATAATTTTATCTAGTTTAGGGGAACTTGCTATTTATCAGCACAATCTTTTCGAAGTGTTTCTACTGTAATGGGGAGCAGGGAAGTAATAGTTGGAGATGTATGTGGGGTTGAGGTTTTTTTGGGAGGGAGGGGCAGAAATTTCAACATTTTTGTGCTGAAAAGAATAATTCAATAGAAAAAAAAATAGATGATGCTTTTCAGAGAGAAAAGATTATTGCCTT